AAGAGCAAAATGCCTAACTGCTTAACACACAGACTAATTTAGCTGTATTGATCTCTCAATCATCTGTTTTTCTGCCTGGACTGATTCAGCCTTATGTAAGCCAGAAAAACTGCTGTTAGAATATCAGATGGCATTAATCCAGTCCTGAGTATCAGTGGTGATGTTTATATGTTTGCACAAGCCCAGATGCTTTTTCTGCTCTGTTTAGGGGAATTGGGTTTGGAGAATAAGATGCAAGTGTTTCAAATTTTGTTTAGAGCTGAAAGCATAATCGAATTAGCCATGATCTTTAATAAAAAAAAAAACACTTGAGGGCTGGGAAAAATTCTATAATTTTGTCAACGACAGGCAATTCAATTCTGCAGAAATGTGCTGAGTTGTTTGTGGAGTTTTGCTGCTGGAGATTTCGTACAAGGCTCAGTGTACATATTAGGGGATCTTACATTGTACGTTTTGGATTATGTATTACACCAGAAATTATTGAAATAATGCCTCAGTTCTTTTGTATGCTGAAGAAGGATCTCCTGAATTTGCTGTTATGCAATTATGGTAATAAACACAACATTTCCGAGCGTCTCGGTGGCGCAGTGGGTAGCTCGATCACCTCACAGCAAGAAGGTCACTGGTTCGAGTCCTGGCTGGGTCAGTTGGCATTTCTGTGTGATGTTGGCATGTGCTCTCCATGTTTGCGTGGGTTTCCTCCAGGTGCTCTGATTTCCCCAAGTCCAAAGACATGCGCTATAGGTGAATTGAATAAGCTAAATGGGCCATAGAGTATGTGTGTGAATGCAAGAGTGTATGGGTGTTTCCCAGTGTGGCTGGAAGGGCATCCGCTGCGTAAAACGTTTGCTGGATAAGTTGGTGGTTCATTTTGCTGTGGCAACCCCTGATTATTGAATTAACAAAATTTTTCTGATGGAATCTTGACAATTTGCAGATCACTGGTGTCCAATCATAGCACTCTGGTCTTTCAAGATGGAGTTTTAAATAATTTCATAGTGCTTCAGTTATAATAGGAATAAATGTGCTTTAAAAACATATATATAATTGTATTCTTTTTCTATTATTCTTTTCTATTACACATAGGGATGTAACGATTGACTCTCATAATTTGCGATTTGGTCACAATTTTTCAACAAAATTATTTGAAACAAATTTAAGGTAAAGAGCCCTTTTTTTTTTCTTAAAGGCTGCACATTTTTTTGCAAAATAATGCACTTTCCAAATTGCTATTTTAAACAACAAATTCCAAAAAAAGTGTAGTTTATTTATAAACTAATTAGAGAGGATTACATGTTAATGATTGATCACGGCTAGTCCCGCATCAGCTTCACATATTGCGCCAATCAATTGGATAATAACTCACTATAAATAACCAGTTTTCCACTTCAGTCATCTTCATCTTGAAGAATCCCCCTTCCACCCTTGCTCCTCCCCTTTTTCCTGATAGGGTGGCAACACGGGCTAGTGGTTAGCACTGTTGCCTTACAGCAAGAATGCCACTGGTTTGGGTCAGTTTTCATGTTCTCCCCGTGCTCGTGGGTTTTCCCCGGGTTGCCCTGTTTCCTTCCACCATTCAAAGATATACAATATAAGTAAATTAACTAACCCAAAATTACATCATAAGATAAACTCTTAGCCAGCTATATTTCTCAGCTATTCCTAACGCGTTTACAAGGAGGGGAGTTCTCGAGACCTCCTCACCCTTTAAACGGTAGGGAGCCCTGGGCTCGAGGATATTCTGAGCTTAGGGCTTTCTCCCGGGACAGCCTGCCAAAACACACTTTATAATCATCAGCTTAGTGTTAACTCTTGAAATAATAATGATACAAACTAAAGAAGACTCATTAATATAAATAAACTAAAACTGTGACTATGCTGGGATTTTACATTTTTTAAAAGAAATATCAGCATATCTCTGTTTTCTGGCATAATCTGAGGTCTTTGCACATTTACAATGTTCCCTGCTGATGAAAAAAAAACTCTTTGACTGGGGATTGAGATGGCTAATGTGGAGAGGAAAGCCTTTCCTAAACCAGAGCTGCTCTAGGGGACTGGCCACTGGCATAAAAAAAAACTGATTATAAAATTATTCATTATATAGTAGGATGGAGACAGGAGTTGAACATGATTATAAAGGTAAATAATTAATATTACTTGTATAATTAATTATTATAAGTGTCAGTGTGATACACTTAAGAAGAGATAATCTAGACCATTTTTAAATATTCAATAATAAAAAGCAAAATTAAAAATATGCATAAACTAATTTGAAAAGAAGAGGTTAAAAATAATCTAATAGCGGTTTCTGTTACAGCAGTTTCTCTTTTAGTCTGAAAAACATCTTTACACTTTCGCCATGAAAGCACTGATTATTTGAGTATTTGAGTATTTGCAAACAGTTTGTGTTTATCTGGCGCACTTTACATCTATCATTTTACTCTGCCGCTCCACCTCTTGCTCACCACAGATGTGCAAGTAGAGCAAGTTTGTGCCTGTAAACAAAGTACCCCCCCTAATCGAAACATGTATCGTGATTAACATTAACATTTCTACCAGCTTGAATCGTCACATTTGAATAAATTTTCAACCGGCTCATGGTGAATAGTTACATCCTTAATTACACATAATAAACACAGTAGTGATACTAAAATAGTGTGGCTTCTGGAACTGGTTGGTGATTTATCGGTATTTTAGATGCTGTATATATTTTTTTCTAACATTACCTACCACCTATATTGAGAACCTAGAAACTGCACACACATCTGCACTCAGTGTTTTGCTCTGACTGAAGAACAGAGAGCGTCACCATGGCAGCAGGAAAAGCAAGTGAAAACACGCCTATGAGCATGTAATGAGGCGACACGCCACCATCTTCACTTTGGATATGCACATGTGCTTTCCTGTTTGTTTGTGTGGGTCTGTGCGTCCCTGTGTGTGTGAGGCTTCTGCATTCCACATTCGAGACCCTCTAGCGCACCATCTGGAAGCCTCTAGAAGGGCCACCAATAAGCCTACTCACATGTAACTCATGGCTGGCATTAAATCAGTGTAAATACTGCGTGCGTTTAACCCTGTTACCCAGCACTAATGCAGCTGGGTAGAGGAGGGGTCCTCAGATCTGTGCAAAGCACTTCACGTCTGTGATTTCATTGGGGCGTTTCATGCCACATGTCCCTTAATGTTGTCATTAGTGGGATAGTGTTATCCGTGTGTGCACACAAGCTGTGCCTGCAAAGCCTATCATAAAACACAGCAGAAAACACAGGACACTCTGTTCTGCTGCAAATGTTTATTATCTGAATCAGTTTTTCTTTATTTCTTTTTGACAACCTCTAAGTGTAAAATGTTTAGGAACTTGAAACATGAAAAATACTCAATTGCTGCTTTGTGTGTGCATATTCTTCATGAAATCACTAGGGGTAGGAGTCTTTAGGGACCTTAGTTCTGAGTTTGTAAAACAAAAACCATTTTTGATGAATATCACTTTTCTTTTGATAAAAAAACGTTAAAAATGTGTAAATTATGACCTTTTTCCATCCAAATCAAAAGATCAATTTTGGGTTCAACTTTTGATGCATACAATCACACAGCTGTGATCACTATAGGCTGGTCTCTCTCGCTGGAGATGTTCATATGCAAAAAAAAAACTACCGTAGTACAAGTGACATCACATCACATCATGATCAGAATAAACGCTGAAAACTGCACTGACACCGTTTCACAATCTACATTGTAAAAGCTTTATAGCAATAAAGATTTTTTCCAACAACATTTTTTTGAAGGTCAAATTAATAATTGCTTAATTTGTAATGAGGTCATTTTAAGTTTTTCCTTTAATGGTACAAAAGACCTCTTACAGCAATTATTTTTTCCAATGGGTCACATTAGACTCTGAGGCGGTTTTAGAGGGCCAAACCAATAGTTTGTTTGTAAAAAAATAAATAAATAAATAAAAATAAATAAATAATTTCTGTGATACTATTCAATTCAAACATTCAAAAAAATTTTTTTTTTAAATTTTACACTACAAGAATTTTAAAGTCCAGCATCACAATATCAACTTCAAATAAATGTCATAGGGTTGTTTTGTTTGCTTTTTCTTAGTTCATTTTTATTTATTTATTCCTTCCTTCCTCCTTCGTTCGTTCATTTGTTCGAAATACTGAAGTCAGGTTAAATGTGAGGTGGATATGTAATTAGTTTACCTTTATTACTTTGTAATTTTATACAGAGTGTGTAGCTGCCTGGTTGGTTTTATCACATGACTAGTGGTTTGCTTGCTGCATTTCTGAAATGGTTTCATTTCTTTATTTTTTTTGGACACCTGAAAAACAAAAAAATGTGACATAGCGCATGTGCATCCCTTTAAGAAGTTCAGAGGGCCGCATGTGGCCTGTGGGCCATAAAATGCCCTGGTCTGTCCTACCGTATATGCTGAAAAATGAAGGCAAATTAGCTTTCTAATGTCTTTAGTCCTTTATTTGTGCATTTTTAAAATTTTATTTATTTATTTATTTTTACTTTTTCTGTTGCTTAATGTGTATCTGTGCCTTAAATATTACTTCAAAACACAGAAGCAAATATAAAATTATAAAAGGGAAGAACAACACACATTATGAAGTCAAGAAAACGTTCCTCCAGTATCTGAGAGTGCTTTTAGGTAACTGAAAGTTTGCAGCCAGTTGCTTTAATGAACTTTTCTTTCTTGAGAAAAAATACTGAATTATTATTGAAGACCTCATACACAGTAACCATTCTAATAGGCAGCACGTACACTAATGCACACCAGAATGAATAGTTAATATGTTTAGACCTGTCCTCAAGATAACTTATGGTTTATAAGAGCACATTTGATCTACTCAGAGCTGTATGCAGGGTGTTTGATTTATGCCATTTTTCCCTAAAGACTTGAAGGACTTTAAAAAAGTAGTGATTTAGATGTAGTTAATATTAACTGAAGTTTCCTGATTAACCCAGAGCCTCTCTTGTTCCTACAGGTGATCTCTGCGCTGTCCAGAATCTCCCACAACAGCATCGCACAGATCAAAGGCATCAGGTAATTTACTTCCTCCACACACGCTGGTTGTGTTTCCTTTCAGTCTTGGTGGGTTTGGAGTCTTCGGGGAACTTTCACAGCGCTCTCTCTTGGGTTGCACCTTTTATGTGGCTCCATTCAGACGACCTGGAAGGGAGAAGCAGTTGGCACAGGCTACCACATATGTGTGAAACCTGTGAGCCTAAACCTGTGAAATATGTGCTTGTCGCTTCCTTCAGGTGTTTAAGCAAGAAGAGACCCTGCCTCTTTATAAGCAACTAGGATCACTTCCTGTCTCATTATTTGCCCCGTCCGTTCGCCTCTCTCCGCAAATAAAGCCTTTTATCCGACAGGGTAATGAGCTGATGGTGCGAGCCATTAGGCGTTTTGCCAAAGTGAGGCAGAGGCTAGACTTGTCTGCCGTTAGTCAGTGCAGCGTAACCGGCTAAGGGGTGCCTAAATCACCTCCTGTCCTCACTGGGCCGGGGGATGGCCAAAATACTGTCAGCTGATTTGTCAGAAATCATTCGAATGGGAAAAAGAAAAAAAACTTTTGCATTGTAAACACTGTCTGGAGTAATTAGAGGAAAGTTCTGAAGATGGATTCTGGCAGCAGACACATATACTGTGACTAATGCGAGTCAAATTTTCACCCTGAGCAAGTCCTCTGTGTGCCGTGTTTTAAGTGTACTGCTTTCCTGGCTGTATACAGGAAGCAATGAAAGCCGGCTTTGTTTTCATCCATGGTGCAGCGTGTGTCACTGCTTTAAGGGGGGAAACTGCATGCGTTTTAGTAGTTAGGCCACCAAAAATGTTTCTTTAAAAAGCCCTTTATTGTAGTAAGTTGTCGATGGTGTGATTTTTCAGGTTTGTGGAGGAGAGTAGAAAAGGTTGCATACAAATTGCCGTCTATTTAATTTCCGCTTCATGCATCGCACAAAGCAAGAAATGTCTCAGTGTTGTTTGAGAACCATTCCACGCACACCCTGTTGGACTGGGTTTAAAGCTGCATGTGGATGTTTTCCCGACAGAGCTTGAAATTCAGCCACATTCCGGCAGGCAAAATGCTAATCAATATTCAGACGACAGGACTTCAGAATTACTCTTTGCATGGCTTGGTTGCGTTGTTTTGTTAAAGAAAGATCTTACTGAATTTTCAGTTAAAGTCAAAATGATTTGCCCTCCTGTGTAGTTTGCATTCTTTTTTAGGATATTTGACAAATGATTTTAAACAAAGCAAGGGTATTTTCAATGTATTTATTAGTATTATACGTTTTCTTCTGAAGAAAGTCCTCTTTCTTTTTCTATATATATATTATGGTCATAATTATTAGCACTCTTAAGAAATGTAGTTTTCTATTGGCTACAGAATCACTGGCTTATCCACTGACTAATTAACAGAATTTGTCTAGTTAATCCTTTAAAGGGCACCTATGATGAAAATCCTCTTTTGTAAGCTGTTTGGACAGAGCTGTCTGTAAGCAGAGTGTATTTACAGTCATATTGGAGTGATATAAAGACTCTTTTTTTTTAAAACTTCCTGACGTTAAAATAGGATCCAAATCCTGGCCATTTTGAGGCCCGTGATGTAGGAGTGCGTTTTCTCCGCCCACTGAATTGATTGACAGCTACGTATTAACATGTCTTCATACCAAAAGATTAAAAGATCTGTTTAGCTCTCTGTGATCATGAATCATCATCAAACGTGATCAAGAATGAGTTTTACAAGTTTAAAATGGTGCATGTTTGTAATAAAGATGGTAAAATTGCTGATCACCAAAAAAAACTCCTTATATCGTAATTCCCAGAAGCGTTTAGTGCTTCCTTCATGTCTGTCTCTGTGCTGTTTATCTGATGCAGCTGAGGCTGAGATTGAGGCATCAGCAGATTGGAACGGTGGGCGAGGAGAACTAGCATTAAAGGCACAGCAGCAAAAACAGCTACATTGTGCTCAGAGCAGAAAATCCATCATTCTGAAAGCTAGAATAAATAATCTGATGGGTATTTTGAGCTGAAACATTACGGACACATTCTGTATTATCTCATAAATCTTGAAAAAGGGGTAAAATAGGTGCCCTTAAGTTAAGTTAAGTTAAGTTGAATACTGGTATTTTGCAAAATACTGTAACTAGTAAAATATTATGTTTAGTATGGCATGGTAAAGACAAAAGAAATTAGTTATTAAAATGTTTTTTGAAAAAATACAAATTTGAGAGGAGAGCTATTCATTTTTTCTTCAACTGTATGTCATCTTTTTGTTTAATGATTATTATTAAGGCCTGTTAATTATTTATTATCTATCAAAAGACACAGGGGGCCATTTTATAGAGGAACATTGTGACATCACACAGACACAAATCTGTTTTTTCAGGTGTGAGCACGTGCTTTTCCTTTGAGCTTTCCTGTTAGCACAAGTTCCAACCACAAAATACATTAGAAAATATGTTGTACATATTTAGCTTGCCATTACACTTCCAGACTGTTGTAAGTCACGTACGCATTATGTAAACCGCTAGTTTTACATATGGAGGTCCCGCTTCAATAACACTGAGTAGCAGGAACAAGGAAGGGCAAAGTGTTCTGTAAGTCATTCATTATGCTTTGCAGCACCTGTTGGCATGATCCCTGGTTTTCCATTTTCAATATGGTGTACAGTATATCTGAAATGCTGCTTTCTCAGATTCTGCTCACGTTTTACTTATCACCTGATATTGATATTGTATTTGGAGGTGTATTTCTATCTCTACATAAAACATCAGCATGTTCTGATGTTCATCTCTTTCTTTTGTTCTGTTGTAGTATGTGTGCTGCATTATTCTGCACCAGGAATTCAGTGGCTCTCATCCAAAACCTAGGGGAACTGCCCTTCTGTCTAATGATTATGCTTTCTGTAACTGAACTGAAACTTCATAAGTGACTGATTCGGAACAGCCTGCATAGACTAGAACTGTGTGTGTCATGCAAATAGCCCACAGGGGAATTGACTCAGTGGACTAAAGAACAAGTCAAAAACTTTCGGACGATGCCTGAACTAAACTTTACAAAATATTTGTACAACTGCCACCCAATAATAAGTGTTGGCTTTTACGTTTTATGTTGTTTAAATAAATACATAAATAAATAAATAAATAAATAGATAAATAAATAAATAAAATAAATAAATAAATAGAAAACAGTAATGTTACATTTACTTGAGGAAAAAGCATCCATCACATCCATATGTCATTAGAAAGGGAAAATATCTTTAAGTGCCAGTATGTGCTAAATATAGACACTTAAGCGTGTTCAGTATATTTTCATGTCAGTGTTACCGCTATGATTTTTTTCCAGCTGTGGTGGCAGGCCTTTTACACAGATCTTCCAACTACCTATGGTGTTATTTCAATGGCAAATGTGAGAGCAGTATTACAAGTCAAAATACGAGCATGCGTTCTCTTTTGCTTGCAGTCTTTTTGCTTGTGCACCGATTTCCTCTGTTCGTGCACAAAACTTCTTGCATGGCGTTAAATATATGCTGCTCAAGCACAAATGTTCTTGTGCTCTCTTAAATAAACACTGCTGAAGTGCATTTATGTAACGAGTTAATCTCCGACATTCAATACATTTTTAGGAAGTTTTTTAAATGTCTTCTATAGACCTACAATAGACCTACAGAAAGTAAAGTGAGACAGCCATAAACTCCTGCTAGATAAAGTCATTGTATGCAGAAGCATAGACCTTTATCTATAAATAAAGAATAATAATGAAAACTGTTCATCATAACTGAAAGCTACGTCGTGTTTGCTGGCCTCATGCATCACGCAGCCTTGTCAGTCAGTCACCATGTAATCTTAAAGGGTTAAAAAAATAACGCACAGCACTACTATGATAACAAAAAAGTTTGCTCTATTATAATTCACTTACATTTTAATATGTCTTGGTGCGATTATGACCCACTATTAAAAAAAAATGAATAAAAACAGCAACAGCTGAAGGTTTAAATGAGAAGCTGTAATGTAGCCGTGGCGGGAATGTATTGTGGTCTGGCACCCCGCAATGAAAGAATTAATGTAGCGGAAACCATGCACATAACCTGTGTTATCTTCATCATTAAGTGTGTGTTAAAATCTTAAAACTGTATACCGTAATTAACATTAATTTTCAAAACATTGTGTCTGTGTTTAGGTCAATTTCATAAGAATAATTAGAATAAAATAATTATGCTATACACCGTAGAAAGAGACTTTACTTGATTGCTCTAGTAAAAAAGTGAATGAGCTCATTATTTGAAAATTATTACGTAAATGAACTATTTACCTGCTTAAAAAGATTCATTCAAGTCAATATAACAGTTCCATATTACAAGGAATTTTCAGTTCCAGATTACAAGGAACAAGTGAAGTAACTAATTATTTTTACAGTGTACAATATGCTTGCTTTTTTAATTATTCAACTAAAATATTTAGTAAACACACTTATTTATGTTTAATTGTTCTAAATGTCAATTTACTAGGGTGATTTGACATAAACCTGGTTGCTGTACAAATTATAAAGGTACGTTTAGTAATAATTTACTGGAGAAACAGGGACAGGGTCTATCTTTGTCTTTCTCAATTCAATTCAATATTGCTTTATTGGCATGACTGTCTGTATGTAATACAATATTGTCAAAGCTTGAAATAGGAGGACACATATAAAACTACAATAAAATATATAAAAAAAATAGAAACAAAATATCATAATAATATAAACTTAAATAAACCATGTAAGAAATAAAAACCACAGTGTTTAACATAAAACTTAAAGAGTCTTAAAATATCTTAAATTTTAAAATCGAAACTTTAGGCGTTAAAAAGTCTTAAATCCACTAAAATGTTGTGTTGGAGGTCTTAATTCGTTTTAAAAAGGTCCTAGTTTTCCTATGTCCATGTAAAGCTATACCCAATAGGGTCAACAGCTATTCAATCCCTTACATTAATTTGTTTTACAATATCATTTGTTTTCAATGCTTTTTTTAAGGTTTTTTTTTTTTTTTGACCATT